AAGAAGAACAATTTTTTTTTAAAATGCTGTCTCATGTAAAGAATCACTTTCAAAAAAGTTTATAGCTTTTAATTCTTTGGAATTCTAGTTTACTATAATCTATAATTTCGTAGAAAATCAGATTTTGCTACAATACCAGAAAAATAAAATAAACTTAAAGTCTCCCCTAAAGAAGTTATGAATGACAGACAACAAATCTATTTTTGTTACGTCTGAAGCAATATTTTTGATTTATTTTAATATTTGTTTACAGATCACCAATCGTAAGTTAGAAAAAAAACCAATACTGAACAAATATTTAGAAAAAGGATCAAATTCTGGTTCTAATTGATTGCTGTTGATCCTCTTGAATGACATCCAGGTGTTCGAAACATCAGCAAATATATTTATCAATATTTTTTAATTTTATGTTGTATACAAAGATCATTTTTGACTACTATCAAAGACTTTTTCTCAGTGAACTAACTTTTGAATCAGAAAAAGAAGAATTCTAAGTAAATAGTTAGAAAAAGTATGAAGTCCAGATTCTAGCTGATTACTTTCTATTCTCTTCAATGATTTCTATATAAATAAAAGAAAATTAACCAAATATATTGTGCTAAGATGTTGTTTTTTTTTACATATAGATTATTCTGATCATATGATTTCTAACCAATTCTATACTGACTTACCAGTAATATAGGACTGTATAACAGTCATACGATTTGTTGTTAACGTTCCTGTTTTATCTGAACATATTGTTGATGCATTTCCCATTGTTTCACAAGCATCCAAATGTCGAACAAGATTATTATCTGTCATCATTTTCTAATAAAAAAAAATTAAGATAATAATTAAATTTATTAAGATCATTTTTGTTACTAACTCGAACAGCATAAGCAAGAGCAAGTGTTACAGCCAATGGAAGACCTATTTATTTAGAAACAAAAACAAAATTTTTTTCTTTTTTCTTAAGTATAAAAATAAATGAATGTTACCTTCTGGTACTGCAACAACAATGATTGTAGTAGCTTGGATAAGAAATGAAATAAAATAACTAATATCAATTACAGAGGGTTTTTGTTTTTTCATAGCATAAGTTGTAACACAATAATGAGTAATTAAACTAATTAATGTTAAAAAAGCAGCGGACATACCTAATTATTAAAAAAAAAACAATTTCTTTGAATTAAAAAAAAATAATAGTAATAATAATAATGCGTTACCAATATAACCAATATGCAAAGCAAGAGTAGTTAACTTCGAATGAAGAATCGCTAAAAAAAAATTATTTTATTTTTCAAATGATTTCATTTTTTGGTTTGTTTTTCTTTTTATACTTACATTTATGTTTAGCGTTATCTGCATCAATATCATCATCTTCTGTATCTTCACTTGATTCAGTTGCAGCATTTCTTGCCTTGTTTTGAGATTTTCTTTCATTAGCGCGAGTAGTTTCATTTATTGTATTATCATTTTTATCTTTGGATGTTTTTAATAATCTTAATTGATCTTTGTGTGAGAATTTTTCAGATATTGCTGGTGTTGGTTGCTTTGTTTCATCTTCAATATGTACACTTTGTTTTGATAAATCAAATGGAGCTTTTGTTGATGGTGTTGCTATGTTAGATTTTCTATCTGTTTCTTTATCTTTTGATTCATTTCTATCTGCTGTTGCACCAAGTAAACTCATTATATTTCTAAACTGAGAATTAAGTCCAACATTAAGAACTACCATTCGACCACTACCTTCCATGACATATGTACCTGATAATAATCTGACATCTTCATCTTCACCTTTTTTTATTAAATCAGTTTCTCCTGAATAAAACAACAAAAACAAAATGTTATTTTCATTTCTCATAATTTTTAGAAGAAAAAACAATATTTTTTTTAAAAACCTGTCAAAGAAGATTCGTCGATTTTAAGATCACTTGATTGAACTATAATTCCATCAGCTGGTATAAGATCACCTAAAAAAGGATGGTTTCAAAAAACAAAATTTCTCTGAAAAAAATTTTTATTCAAAATTTTACCATATTTAATAAAACAAAGATCACCAACTACAAGTTCTGTAACAGGAATTTGTTGTATAAAATTATTTCGTACAACAGATGTTCGTTGATTTTTGTCAATTTTACTTTGTAAACCACGAAATTGTCGTTCTTTTCTCCAATCATAAAATGCAGTAACAAATACAACGATAAGAACAGCAACAAGAATTGCAACACCTTCAATCCATTCAAGATTTGCTAAAAAAGAGCAGATGCAACAAAAAAAATTAACATACTCTCTCTGTGTAAAACCAATTTATTTAAAAATCAATATCAAGTTTTTTCCTCTTCTTTAAGGTATTATGCTATATTAATTTAAAATATTAAAAATTGTCATAATTAGGATTTTTCTCTTGTCATCAGTTTTGCATACTTTATTGGTTTCTTCTTTTTTATTAAATGTAAACATTTGTTTATATTTAAGTAACATGAGACGGTGTCTATAGATGGTCTAATTTGTCTATCAATGTTCTGGAAAACCTTTTTCTTGAGACAGACTGGCATGAAAATAAGGCATTAAACCCGTATATAGATATGCATAATATCTCATCTTTAATAATAACAAAAGAAATAATGATACTATTCATTTTGTTATCATGATCAGTCAAAGAATTTAATGAAAGAGATTATATAAATTAGAATAATTCAATCTTTTTGTGTTTTTCTGCATGACAAACGCACAGATATGGGTAAGATAGTTCCGAAGCCAGGACAAAGACTTTTTCATTGTAAACGAAACCTTCTATGGTCGTATAAAACTTGTGTTCAATATCATATTATCAAGACTCATGTAATTTAAATAGATATGGACAGGATAACCCAGCTCTGGTTCTCTGGGACTGAAATCAAAAATGACTGATCACGCTCATATCTATAAATATGATAATTTCTTCACAGAAAGATCATATTATTACGTACAAATAATTTTCTTTCGATATAATAAGGCAGTGTCTATTCGATAATTCAAAGGTACATAATTCAAATTTCTGCACAAGGAAAATTTGTCAATTTATTCTGTATTTGTTTCATATGAATATTTAACTCATAAATTGACATGAATAGAACCAATTCTTTTTAATCCGGATAAAAAAAGAAGCCTTAGTTCTAGTTTCAAACTTAGCAAAAATTTTATCAACAGAGCTTACGAGGGAACCTTCTCAAGTGCTAATAAGCTATTTTGCCTAAAATATCGACATTTTACTATGATTTTTCAGCAGCACTATAGTTTTGCAGTAGAATCAAAGTTTCGAATTTTGCTCTGAAACTTTGTCTACACCGGCACCCCAATGAGACAAGCTTTCCTACTGAGTTGCAGAATTTTTGGACGAATTATTTCTGAGACATGAGTTTTCCAAAATATCCATGCCTAACATAATCGTATTGGAAGAGAGCTTGTCCAAAAATTCTAAAACTTTATAAGTAGGTTCGTCTGATTGAAGTTTTGGTGTGGGCAAGGTTTCAGATCAAAATTTGAAACATTAGTTCTATCGCAAAAATAGAGTGCTATTGAAAAATCTGTTAGCGCAATCTCTGCCGGATTAAAATGTGAAACACGATGCAGCTGTTGTTACTAGTCATACGAATATGTTTTCTTCGATATCTTTGGATCTGTTAATAAATCATTGTTTATTAATTCCTCTGGAGTTGCAAAAAGGAAGCAGTTGACATATTTCCATGGAATTCTAGCGACATTTAATCATAGTTCATATAAAAACAGGTCTATCTATTTCTGTAATAGATATTGGGTTTTCTCTGTCACAGTCTATGATGGGGAGGGAGGAGGTGGGTGCAAATTTCTGCCCCTAAACACTTCAACACTCCTTTCAGATCATGTTTCACAAAATAATAGTAAAATGTTGATATATCAGACACATCGCAACTTAGGCCCATATCCTTTTAGGATTTCTCTAGTCTATATATCCTATACTTGTCGACAACATAAATGTCTTGCTGTCATATTAAGATCTATTCATTTGTTAGTATCGCTCTTTTTCAATGCTTAATTAGATATGAGCAGAATTAGTTGTTTTGATATTCATTCTGATGGAACTACAAACATTCTCCTTTTATATACTCCTAGATTTCAACAAATAGAATAATTATATAGAATCTTAGTCGAATTATGACTATTTTCTATTTTAAAAAGCAAGTTTAAAAAATCTTTTACTCTAAAACGATTTCAAAATAATCTTGCTTTTCATATGTTTCTCAAAAATTCATCTATCAAGAACAGTTGGTCGATCATTTAAAAGTTTAAACATAAAATATTTCTAAAATTCATTCATTCAAGAATTCACATCACATTAAAATTGTGAAGGGAAAATCAAATTTAGATAACAATACACTTTGCTCTTATGTAAAAAATACTTTATACACATTAATCTAACTAATTTCTTGTCGATCTTTGTATTTTTGAATAGTAGATAAATTTAATATTTACTAGAATACATAATACCGGGCGATCAATAATGAATGGTCGCACTTTGTATTTCATATTTTGATCATTAAATAAGTCTTATGAAAAAACAAAATATACCATAAGATGCAGCGTGAAAAGCTCTACAAATTGCAAAGAAAATTTTATTTTATAAATGCATCTTTTGTTTTCAAAATGAACAAAATTCTGTGCGACCAATTTTTGACGCTACGAAGAAGATCGTTTTTTGGTACACAAGAAATCACTTTTTTTCATTTGTTTGACTAAAAAGAAATATTGGCGGTCATAATTAATGGCCAAATTTAGTCCAATAGACGTGTTTCGATTAAAATTCTCCACTGATTCTGATATCAGTGGTGGAGGCTGTTACAGGCATGTTGTTCACATACCTTCATGTTGCTTCAGCTATTACTGTCCGTTTTCTCTCTGTTCTATTTTCGTTCCCTTTGTTTACATTCTTTGATTCTTTTTTCTCTCTCTTATCATTCGAGATAAAATCAAACTAAAATGAAGTCGATAGACTTTCGAAAATGCTTATGCAAATGAATGATGATGGCATGTCGTCAGTACAAATTGCTAAACAACTACGAAATGTCGTCAGCCAACGTACGATTAGACGATGGCAAGATTTATATAAAGAAACAGGCGAAATTGATAAAAAAAAAATCAACTGATAGACCGAAGATTGTGCGAACACAAGGATTTATACAAAAGGTGAAACAGCGGCTGATCGCCTACAACGGTCGACGCAGTGCAAGACAATTAGCTAAGTCACTTGATGTTACCAGAGAAGTTATGCGTCTGATAATTAGAAATGATCTTAATTTATGCCCTTATCATATTACAACTCGACCAAAGATAAATAATGATAATAAAAACCAAAGAGTATCATTTGCTTATTGAGTACAAAAGTTTTTAAGGAAAGAAGATCATGCTAAAACTTTATTTATTGATAAAAAATATTTTTCAGTTGAAGGTGTATTCAATCGACAGAATGAACGTATTTATGCTGCAAGTCGTCTGGAAGCAGATGAACAAAGGGGCATATATCAACAACCTAAATATCCGAAAAGATTAATAGTATGGTTAGGTACTTCAAAAAATGGACTTAGGTCTCCAATTATTTTTAAACCTGATGAGACAATATCACATAAAAATTATATTGAAGTTATTCTTCAACATGCGCAAGCTGAAGGTGAACAACTGTTAGGTGACAATTTCATCTTTCAACAAGACCATGCCACACCACATACGCATCGGGAATCATTGGCATGGTGTGAAGAAAACTTGACGTTTTTTTTAGACAATCATCGATGGCCACCAAACAGTCTTGATCTCAATGTTCTGCATTATTATGTGTGGGATGCTATTACGAATAATATGCAATGTGATAAAGTTAAAGATTATGATTCATTAAATGATGAAACTAGTAGAGGAATTCGTCATGTACCAAAAAGTGATCTTCTTCGTAGCATCGAAAATTGGTTGCACAGAATTTTGTTCATTTTGAAAACAAAAGGTGCATTTGTAAAATAAACTTTTCTTTGTAATTTGTGGAGCTTTTCACGTTGCATCTTGTGATATATTTTGTTTTCTTTTTGGTAAAATATATTTGATAATGAAAGATGAAATAAGAAGAAGAAATTCATCATATACCAAAAAAAGATATCGTTCGAAGTCTGAAAAATTGGTCTCACAGATTTTCGCTTATTTTGAAGACAAAAAGCGAGCAAGTAAAAGAAATTTTTCTGTGCAGATTGTAGAGCTTTTCATGCTGCATCTTATGACGTATTTTGTTTTTTTTCATAAGACCTATTTAGTGATCAAAATATGAAATGCAAAGTACGACCATTCATTATTGGTCACCCAGTATATGAATTATATTAGAAAGAACAAACGAATGACGAATAAAGAAGATAAGATCAATCATAACGCGAAACAATGACTTATCAACAACATGAGTCGTAATCGATCAGCACTAGTATTTATCTAGTAGCTAGATAAATTAATTAATATTCACAACGGCTATCGCATTCTATATATCTATTCTCATCTAATTCCATTTAGATCTAATAATGTAATAATAAGAAAGAAAAATCTATCTACGTACGTTCATCTTCTACAGCTTGATCTCCTTGATGAGGTGGTTTATAAAATAAAAGACCCATTGAAACAGCAGCACACATTAATAATATAACTAATAATACATCATGAAGTGCATCCCAACATAATCTTAAAAATGATTTCATTGGTTTTGGTGGTATTTCATTGTTTCCATAAATTGCACGACGTTGTTCAAGATCTTCTTGATTATTTGAATCAAGTCCTTTATTGCCATCAACTTTTAATTTTTCTAATATTCCTTTAACACCATTAAATGTAGATGAATTTAACTTTTCCAGTAAATCTTTTCCTTCTAATTTCATTAATGCTCTTAATTGTTCAATTGTTAGATCAAATATTGATGAATCACTATTAACAGGTGTTTTTGTAGATGATTTCTTTCTAGACAGCATCTAAATCAAATCAAAATAGAGTTTATTAGAAAAAAACAACAACAACAAATTTTTCTTCAATTATAATCTAATCATCTTCCATATAATTATTTTCCTTAATTATGTCCATTATACTAACAAAAAATCTTTTTTTCTTCTTCAAGAAACAGCTCATGTTAGTTGTTGTATGTATATCTCTGATACTAAGAAAACAAAAAAAGATGAATACAAAAGAATTTATATTACACAGAGAAACATAAGCATAGCTTCATCCATTTCCTGTTGATGATAAATATTTGCATATTTAGCGTGAATATTGCCGATATTTCTCGATGACAACAGCACAAATGAAACAATCGCTTTAAACTTGCTATAATTTCTATAATAATAGGTGTGATACACATCTTAATGATACGTACAATAAAATCCTTATCATCGCAGCTACATTTAGACAATGCATTTATTAGATCGGAGATATTTTTAAAAGGAACAGAGAAGTTTGACAAATATGTTCATCATTACTTTTGTTTCAATTTCATATTTAAAAAACTGTAAAAAAACACAAATTTAGAATTATATTATGATTACCTGTTTTTTAGGTTGTCCAATTTCAGATGATGGAGGTGGTGAGTGTAATGATTGCATTTCCATTTGTTTTTCTGTATCGTTTACAAGTGATGGATGAAATGCTGTCGATAAACAATTCTTTTTCAAATTGTTATTATCAATTCGAACTTTTTTATATTAAACTTCAACCTATAAAAAATATTAAAAAACATATTAATATATAATAAAGTTCGAAATAATAAAAATTAAAAGAACCAACTTCACTTACTAATTCGTCCCAATATTAATTCAAATGATTAGCATGTTGAAGCTGTGGAAAACTAGTTATGTTTTTATATATGAAGTGTACTGATAAACCTCTCTTTTTCTTTTCATTTTTATCAGTGACGTAATGAGTTTCGAATAAAAAATATATTAGTAATCAAAACCAAATTTAAAGAACTGATCTATCCGACTATAACAAGATGTGGGGGTCTAGAAGAATTTTTTGTAGAATTCCAACCTATTTACGACGTTTTGTTCTTGCTTAAGGGCTCATCAGGTAAATTCGAAATCTAATTCACTACGCATCAATTATATTCAAACTATTATTGAAATGAATGAAAGTGTGTGTCCAAAGGATAGTATCGAAAATATTCATCAGTAAAGTCTTTTACCTTCGAATATTTTGTAGTGTATATTGTGTTTGTCTGGCAATGGCCAATAAATGTCTTGTAGTTAGACGATATATGTTCAAAATATCTAAAATAGCACCGATTTGGTTAGAGGTAATCTTAAGTATTTGATTAGAGAATAATTGATAATTAGCTATATTGTTCAGTATTTCTGATCTAACGAAACAAACAGATAGTGCGAATTATATAATTGAAAACTGATCGAAAAAAGATGTTTTTGTTAGTAATGATTATGTAGTTAGATCCATTCTTTTTAGAATTTCTCGTGTAGACTTTTTGCGAATTGAAAACTTTTGTAATGTGCAGTTGGTCTTCGAGATAAGTCGGACTTGAATGCAGTTGGTCGGTGATCCTGGATATTAGTAATGTTTTCTCCACCATTTCAAAAATTGTTAAGGAAATATCGAGGTTGGTCTGCTCTCAAATGTGTATCTCAAGTACATCACTTTTGAATTTTTTGGTTTTTGTTGTAATACAGGTGGAAATAGGACAGGAGATCATTTTCACAACTTTGGATTCAATTTCACATTTTATTGATTGATAAAGTAGTTTTCGATGTAGTTGTTGATAAGTTTGTTCATCGAATCGTTTTATTAGAAGATCAGCCTTATTGACTTGAAAAAATTCGAAGAAATTGATTTGTAATAAATTTTGGTGGATTATTCAAGAACAATGAGACATCAAAACGTAAACGATCCGAATAAAAATCATGAGAGTGTGGGTGTGGATGTGGGTGTGGGTGGGTGGGTGTGGGTGAAGAGACTATAAACACCCACACCCACACATACCCACACCCACACATACCCACACCCACACATACCCACACCCACACATACCCACACCCACACATACCCACACCCACACCCACCCACCCACAATCATATCCGCGCACTCATACTCTACACCCACGCCCATCCACACCCTATCATATTGAGCTAAATTTTTTGGACAATCTTTGAAACTTAGTTTTTGTCTCTACATACATTAAAATCATTGGATCCTTATAAATGAAAAAAGAAAAAAATGCGCTACATTTCGGCATATACATATTTTTCAAACTAACTTTTATAGAAAAGTTAGTTTTAAACATGGGTGTGAGTATGGTTGTGAACTCTACATGTCTTCAGCGGCACCCACAGCCACACCACCCACACTCTTCTAGACACTGAATTCAAAATGGACACATTTCGACAAAAAACTATGCACATTGGTAGTGAAGAGATTGATTAAGAGAGCTGTAATCTCATACAAAACATTCTAATCATTATTGTGCAGGGCTTGTATTCGATGAAGTTAATAAATTCTTTGTTGTATAAGAAGAATTAGACACTTAGTGAGCACTCAGTGTCAACTGATCGTTCCATTAATCAAGTAAATCATGTACCTTTTGTTTGGTAAGCTTCCTCTCAGAAAATACTTATTTACGGAAAGATATATTTCATTCACTTTATCTATATATTATTATAAGTTTCAACGTAAAAATGCACCAAAAATACTTCTTTTTCATGTCCTTTCACTATAAGTGCCCACTAGCATTCTTTAAGAGATTCTATAACTATGATGATTTCGGAATGATTTTAGAATTTTCAAAGTTCTGACAGTTCTTAAGTTCTGAGATTAGCTAGAACTATATTTAATTTATTTTGATACCTTGGATTTTTTTAATGAATCTTTTAGTTCTCAATATACAAGAAGTGTAAAATTCATAAAATTCAAGTAGGTATCTTCTAGGATCTTCATTTCAATTCTTCTGAAAGATTATTTCCTGCAATTATTGTAGACAGACGAAACCACATTCTGAAAAACCTTCGATGGATTTTGCAAAATAGATTAACATTGTTTTCGATTTAGTTAAGCATTGAAGAAAAAAATAAGAAATTCAATAAAATCTTCGGAAATAACTTGCATAAAGTACGGACTCTGTTTTGGGTAATATTCATTTATATTAAAATATTATGATCAAATTATTTCTAGTCTAAAAACAACCAGTAAAAAAACCCAAAATAAAAATTTGTTGAATTAAATGGTGTTTTGAAGATGAAAGAAAACTAACTCTATGAAAGCATTCAAATTTACCTGATATTGATAATATGTATTAGTGATTATATTCAGTCGTGTATACACATTACGAACTGAAGATAAAATTGTGAATTCATCAAGATTGTCCCGGATGCGATAGACAAGCTCAGCAGGTAATTTCAGGAGAGGTAATGCAACTTGATTACCCATAAATGTCGCTTGTGTTCGAACACTATATTTTGTTACAATGAATGTCTATTGAAACTGATTTTTCTTTATATCGATGTATTTATTGCCTACGTGTCATAAGCTTCATCATGCTTGAGTGATTTTTTTGTAACATAAAGAAATAAAACAAGCGTGATACGACCAATCCAATGGATCAGCAAGTTTATAAAGGTAGATGTCAATATATTATACTCTTTCACCTGAATTTTTAAATGATACTTTCAAATATTTATAATTGACCGTTCCCTAGAATTTTCATCCTTCTTCAATATAATCGAGGCCTCATTCAAGTTTTCTTTTTTTGTTTGTTTCATTATGGCGTTCGCGGCAGAAGTAAGGAGAAAAAAGATAAACAAAAATAGTGAAAGATAAGAACAACAATAGACAAAGAGAGCGACAAACATATCGGTAGAGGTAGAGATATATCGATATAATGATATTATTGTGACAAAATCCGGTCTTCAATAGTAAAGATAAAACAGTATAAATAACGTCATTCTGTTTTTTTTTTCATCGACCGCACAAAAATATTTTAACAAAACGTAGCTATTCTCGATCCATCACAATATTTAATTTTTTAAATCATATTTTTGGAAACAAAAAATGCGATGAACGAAAAACTTTTAAACGAATTTCCAATGAAAGAGCATTAAAAGACAAATAATTCTGCAAATGTTTCACATATAAATACGAAAACTCTTTTTGAAATTTGTAGATTCAAGCAATTTCTTGCACTTCTGTTGAGGAGGAAAAGTCTCCAGGTATGTCTTTTGGACTTCAACGAAAACTACATGGGTTTATCAAGTCAAGCACACTCATCTTAAATATAGCAAAATTACCGGTCTAATACTGCTCCGATAAAAAAAAGTTGCAGAACAATGTCTTTGGACTAAGAATCTGAGTGATCATAAGAGAACTTTTTCGACGAAAACACAGTTCGTACAAAAATCTCAAACATTCACAAGTCGACTCAGTTTTGGTGCTAATTCCCAAACTATTATTGGTTTTGACATATAGTGTACTCTTCTGGCCGAAACCTCCTAAGAGTGTGGATCTTCTTAGCTTAACTCGCAGTTCACAACCATGTTGAGCAATTAATACATAGAAATAATTATTCAATTTATGTATAAGTGGGTGCGGGTGTGGGCAGGTTTCTTCTTCCATATCCACAGCCACACCCACACTCAAACCATATTGTTGAAAATAAAAAGAAAACTTTATTTATTTTATTTTCATTTTTCTTAGAATAATGGGACATTTCGTCATTGCCCACTCGTTCAGTTTTAACCTTATAGTAAAACTACTGTTCGGATTATCTATAGATGAGATTTGAGGGTGTTGGTATAGTTATGGTGCGCGGCGAATATTATATCCACACTCCTACCTACACTTACACTCTATTAAACATTGGGATGGCCAAAAGATTGATGTGAATAAGGAAGAAATGCTATATAATATTTATCTGATAATAAGAAAAAACTTCATTGTTTGTATTTGGATGAATACTGATTACTTTAAAGAGTACCTTCAAAGTTTGCTCGTAGAAACAAAAATTCGGTGTATTCACATGTAAATTTAAAAAAGTAATTATCAAAGTTGAATTAAATAGTGAAGAAACAATGATCTCTCACTTCAATACACGACACTTCGTCTTATTTTTCGTTTTGTGCGCTCATTTTCGTCGTAATTACTTTTCGTCCTCTTACAATGTGTCCCAATTTCATTTTGTTCTTTTACTACTCATCCCAATTTTATTTTCGTCTTCTTACATTTTATCTCAAAACTTACAAAAGTATTTCGTAAGTATTTATTCTTCTCTGTAGTAAATCATCAAAATATTTATCGACATAAATTTTTTCTGTCATTTGATCTCGTGCAATTTTTGAGTGTGTGGTGTGAGATGCAGGTGACGAAAACATATAACCCACACCCTTCTCTATCTAGCAATTGTTCTGTAGTCTATAAATATTGCTGTTTGAACTGCTTTTCTCATTACATACATTTGCTTGAATCAAACACGTTATTTTTTTGCCAGTTGAATAAGCTATTTCAAAACATCTTAAATAACTTT